CTAGTTTTTGGAAAAATTAACCGGAGACCTAGTTTTGGGCTCGTATTCGGTTATTCGAATAATTTATTCGGTTTCTGCCCAGGCCTACTGCTGAAACTGTGGTAGATCTACGCTCTTCTCTTCACGATTGTTTGAGCGATGGCAAGGAGTTTAGAACTAATCTTACTTTTAATCTCCTTGAGCGATGGCCTGTGTTGAGCTATAGGCCTAATCGATTGATCGATCGGTTCGTCAGTTTTTCCTGTTGGCTTACAAAATCAATGGGCGCCACGTGTTCAAATGTACAGTCTACACCATCCAGTTTGGATCATGAAATGAATGTTCTGACTCTGTCTCTTTATTAAGCCTCATACTCATGGCAATGTTTATTCGCCGATCAGAATACTTCTGTGCATAATTTGGATTTGGAGGTGCTGCGTGCTGTTACTACTGTTGTGCAATATGACCGGACAATTAGATCTAGAATCTAGATGTATTGTTCAAACTCTGAATACTACAGGGACAGTTTGTGATAGTGTTAAAACCTGGAAAAATTGATGAAGGACTCAGAATCTAGACTCTAGATCTACTTGCCATTAAAATTTTACTTTCGGATTTGTGCGCTCTTGAGATCAGAGAGGTCTCTTAAAATTAGACCCTTGAAGCCAATTTAAACTTTCACGGGGCCAGACTAGTTAGTCAGACCTAATATATAAGGCGATTGTTGATTCAGTAGGCTGCAGTTTGGACATATTTACTGGGGAGCCTGTGGCTTTTCTTCCCACCAAGGTCTGTGGTCTACCAGTAGTCCGGTACTTCTGGCATTGAGATTCCAGGGCTACACTTTCTCTCTCTCTCTCTCACAAAAGTGGGGCCACGCAGTGAGCAGAGACTGACTTCCATTTTACGTATGGTCAAGGCACAATCCGCTGTGGTCCATTCCCGGCCACCGCTGTCTTTTGGCGAGCTGTGGAGGGTCAACTTAATGTGGTCTGACCCTGGCAGCGTTGTTGGATCAAAATCATGCAAGCGAGCGGCTTTTCACGTCCTGGATCCTTTGTGTCGGTACATAGACGTCCATGTTTGGGCATGCCATGTCCTCGAGGCCTATCCCACCCAGTGATGTGTTCATCCTTGCAGGGACCAGAAGAATCCATGAAGATTTACTAAGCCAAAGGTAGAGCACAAGCCAACCACAGGGAGTGCATAGAAGAAGTAGGTGAGGGTGACAGAGGACAACACTCACTAAAGGGAGAGTGAGAGTGTGTTGGTGGGGGGCATAGCGTCTATCACGTGCCGGTGGGTTCTGCCCTTCGCACCTTGTGGGGTCACACCTACTCCCAGCCTGTTGATTTGACCCCTCCGGGCGAAGGGGGGATAGTTTGTTGGCGCCAACGATTCGCCATTCGCCAGAGCCACGTCAGTGCAGACAGGGATCACCACGAGTAGGTGCGGTTGGCTAGACTGGGAGAAGCTATATATAGACGCTTGGGTGTTTCTCATCTTTTCATGAGGCCCTTCACCAGCCTTTGATAGCCCCTGCAGTTTGGCAAAAGAAAGTTAGGTTGTTTTATTTAAGACATTCACAGTTGAGAGCTGTCTTCAAATTCAAAGGTAGTGTTAACATTGATATCTACATGTATATATTATAGTAATGAAAGTGGCTGACATTTCCTTCTCTGAAAAGCAAATTAATGTCAGTTCTGAGGAAGACATGGTGAACAGTATTATCGCCGAAGATGATGGTGGCTGTGGTATGAAAAAAGGATTATTTCTTGTTCCTTGTTCTTCTGGAGGTATGGATCTTAGCACTGATGGCATCGTTTTTAAAGGTGAACCTAGTAGTTCTAGTTCTGGGTCTCCTTGTGCACGAAGGGAAGATGTGAGACATGACATTTCAAGTGGAGAAAATTACTCTGAAGATAAGAGCAGTCCCCTGTTCTTGTTTAATCTCAAAGATGAAAGACCTGTTGTAAAAAACGTACATCTGCAGATAAAAGAAGAGTCCGGTTTTGAATGTCCGTGTGATGTCAAGGTTGAGGGAAATGATGAACCAGGCTTTGAAAACAGAAACATTGCAGTAAAAGATGAGCCTATCAGTTTGTTTGGGGCAGAGGAAGAGGTAAAACCTGTCATAGTCATTAAACCAGAGTGCCATATTGATTTTGTAAAAACTGAACCTCTTTTTGAATATTTTCCCGGCAACATCGATGATGAAGTGAAACCAAAAGTGGAGGATTGTGTGAAAGAGGAAGTGCCAGAATGGGAGGGTCCAGACTTTGAAGAGATAGGAAAGACAGAAGGACAAGTGGGAGATGTGGAGGAGATGAGTTTTGAACCCATGTTTGTTGAGGATCACATGAGTCAGGCTGGAGGACTACAGCAGCAAATCTCCACTGTCAGGGGTTTGTGTATGGAGCAGAGTTCCAACCCACACACTGATGTTGTTGCATCCACGTGTACAACTTCTACAACTTTCTCTGCTGATCCAATTCTTCTGGAATGTAATGTCTCAAATTCTGGCTCTAGTGTCAAGAATAAAGGTTCAGATTTCAACTTTTCTTGTGCTGTGTCTATTTCCAGTGCTGTAAATTTTTCTGAGTCTTCCAGTACGACACAGCCAAAAGTGCACAAAGAAACAGACACTGGTCATTCAGATGGTCCCAGGCTTACGGTTAGGAAAAGTACATTCTCAGAAGAAACACTTCACAAGTGTAAAGTTTGTGGTGAAAGATTTGCAAAAAGTGATGACCTACTGAGACATAAAATGATGCACACTGGAAAAAACCTGTACAATTGTGAAATTTGTGGTACAACGTTTGCAGAGAGTGACAGCTTTCACAGCCACAAAAGAACACATGTGGGAGAAAAATCTTATAAATGCGGAGTTTGTGGTGCAACATTTGATCAGATGGGTGTCATGCAGAGACACACACAGGAAAAACCTTACGAGAGTGAAATTTGTGGTGGAAAGTTAACAAAAAGTGGAAGCCAATTGGAACGTAAAAGGACACACACAGGGGAACAAGTTTACAAGTGTGAAGTTTGTGGCACAAGGTTTGCACAGATGTGTGTTCTGCAGAGACACATGAAAGTACATGTAAGAGGAAAACCTTACAAGTGTGAAGTTTGTGGTGTGATGTTTACTCAATCCAGTGCCTTGGAGAGCCACCAAAGAACACACATGGGGGAAAAGTCTTACGAGTGTAAAGTTTGCGGTGAAAAGTTTACAGAAAGTGGTAATCTGCTGAAACATAAAAGAACACACATGGAAGAAAAGCCTTACTTGTGTGAAGTATGTGGTGAAAGGTTTACCAAAAGTGATAACTTCCTGGGACATAAGATAACACACATTCGAGAAAAACCTTACAAATGTGAAGTTTGTGGTGCAATGTTTGCAGAGAATGACAGTCTTCACAGACACAAAAGAACACATTCGGAAGTAACATTTTACAAATGTGAACTTTGTGGTGCGGCATTCGCACAGATGGGTGTCCTGCAGAGACACATGAAAGTACACGTAAAGGGAAGGCGTTTCCAGTGTGAAGTTTGTGGTGCAATGTTTACACTAGCCAGTGTCTTGAAGAGTCACAGAAGAATGCACACAGGGGAAAGGCCTTACGAGTGTAAAGTTTGTGGTAAACGGTTTACTCAACCCGCTGTCTTGAGGAGTCACCATACAACACACACGGGAGAAAGACCTTACGAGTGTGAAATTTGTGGCAAAAGGTGCTCACAAAGTGCTACCCTGCGGTTACATAAAAGAACACACACAGAAGGAACTTTAGAAAAACCTTGGAAATGTGAAGTTTGTGGGAAAAGGTTTGTATCCAAGGCTAGCCTGCTTCAACATAACAGAACACACACAAAAGAAAAACCTTACCAATGCGACATTTGTGGTGGAAAATTTGCATACTCCTCGAGCTTGAGGAGTCACAGAAGAAAACACACAGGAGAAAAGGCCTTCAAATGTGAAATTTGTGGTAAAGCATTTACAGAAAGAGGAGAAGTAACGCAACATAAGAGAAGAAAACACACTGGAGAAAGGCACCATAAGTGTGAAGTTTGTAATAAAATGTTTTTATTTCCCAGCTGCTTGAAGAATCACATGCGAATGCACACAGGAGAAAAGCCTTATAGCTGTGAAATTTGTGGTAAGAGCTTTGTGTATCGTAGTGCCTGTAATGTACATAAAAGAACACACACTGGAGAAAAACCTTACGAGTGTGAAGTTTGTGGTCAAAGGTTTACAGCTTGTACATACCTAAAAAGGCATACAAGAACTCACACAGGAGAAAAACCATACAAGTGTGAAGTTTGTGGTGAAAGGTTTGCAAGATCTTCTCATCAAAGAAGACATGAAAGAACACACTGGAGAAAAACCATGCAAGTGTGAAGACTGGCGATAGTTTTACGAGCGGTAACATTGGTACATAAAGGGAACCACACAGAAGAAAAACCTGACAAGTGTGAAGTTTGTGGTGAAAGGTTTTTATACAAAGTGATAACAACATTTACATACTTGGTGGGACATAAAAGACGACACAAAACCTGACAAGTGTGGAGTTTATTTAAAGTGAAACATTCACAAGAAGTTACCTCTACTGGTATAAAAGAACACACGCAGGCACTGAAGGAAAACCTGACAAGTGTGGAGTTTTGGGTGAAACATTTACAAGAAGCTAGCTACCTCTACTGGTACAAAAGGACACACACATGATGTGAAACCTGACAAGCATGAAGTTAATGGTGAAAGCTTTACAGAAAATGGAAGCCTAAGTTACTGTTAAATAAAAGAACACACAAGGAGAAAAACGTTACAAGTCTGAAGTTTGTGGTCAAAGATTGACACATTTTGTGGGTGAAATTTATACAAAATAGTAACTTGAGGAGTCACAAAATTTAAGAAACACACACTGTAGAAAAACCTCATACAGAATTTGTGATGCAGGTTTACTTACACTTAGAGTAGCAGTGCACAGAGGTACAGAATGAATACATTTCAAATAGGGTCTACATGTAAATGTAAAATTAAACTGCAGTTTCATGAAATTTCACCGGCAAGAAAAATTAGCTAGATTGCTCTTCTGCCTACTCTGAATACAAACGTCTCAGTTGCTGGAATGTCGGGGGCTGTAACACAAGAGGACAAGAATGGAGATGAAGATAGCATGTCCGAGGAACATCCCGTCTTGTCACTATGAATGTTAGTTGAACTTGTTTAGTCCACAACTGAAATGTCACTGACTTCTCGTGACTCTCCTTCTTGTTGTTGTTGTTGTTGTTGTTGTTGTTGTTGTTGTTGTTGTTGTTGTTGTTGTTGTTGTTGTTGTTGTTGTTGTTGTTGTTCTTCTTCTTCTTCTTCTTCTTCTTCTCTCTCTCTCTCTCTCTCACTCTCTCTCTTCTTCTTCTTCTTCTTCTTCTTCTTCTTCTTCTTCTTCTTCTTCTTCTTCTTCTTCTTCTTCTTCTTCTTCTTCTTCTTCTTCTTCTTCTTCTTCTTCTTCTTCTTCTTCTTCTTCTTCTTCTTCTTCTTCTTCTTCTTCTTCTTTTTCTTCTTCTCCTTCTCCTTCTCCTCCTCCTCCTCCTCCTCCTCCTCCTCCTCCTCCTCCTCCTCCTCCTCCTTCTTCTTTTTTCTTTTTCTTCTTCTTCTTTAAAAACATAAGTTTTAAGGAACAAAGTCTGGTGTAGCGGTGTAGGATTAGTGTGCTGTGAGACATGGTGTGCGATTCTGAAATAATATGATAGGCTTACCGTTAATTGTTTTTTCAACAGCATTTTGAAGAAATTTCCTCTTTTCCAATTCATGCTGGCCTTTAGTATATGATGTATGTTTTATAGAGGAAGGTTTTCTGGTTCAAATGACACCAAAATCAACTTTGTTGCTATTTATATACCCTCATAGTGAAATGCACAGCTAAAGTTATTTGCCTACTTCTCTTTTTGTGTGTGTGTGTGTGTGTGTGTGTGTGTGTGTGTGTGTGTGGCTAAAACAGCACCTTGACATGGATGGCTGGTGCCTCTATAAATAAATCATTGATGGTCTGGTGTGTGTGTGTGTGTGTTTGTGTGTGCGCATGCGCGTGTGTATATCTTGCCAAAGTCTTTGTACTTCTACTCATTTATCTTATGGCCTCTAGGTTCTCTCTATTATAACAAATCTGTCTATTCCTGTTGGTCGTTGGTGGGTGCTCTGGTGTGGTTTGCCCCTTTTTTCCAATCAAAAGTCTATCATCCTGATCGCTCCTCCTTTTTTGTGTTTGTTACTCTCTTGTAACTCCTCTAATCTTCGGCACTTATATGACCTTATTGTGTTGCAAATGCCGTAAAACTCTTACTAAAACTAACTGTCTATTCCTTTAGTTTTAGTACGAGTCTTATGGCACTCGCTGTTCACTATTAGGTCACACAAGTGCCAAAGATTAGAGATGTTACAAAGCAGTAACAAACACAAAAAGAAGGAGAGATCAGTACGATAGATGTTTGAGAGGAAAGAAGGAGCAAACCACACTAGAGCACCCACTAACCTTCTGCCTGTCTATTGTGGGCACTTTCTTGAGCTGAATAGTGGTTCTTCTGCCTCTGTCTGTATTATTACAACTCTATATTCTATTTTTCTCATCTTCTCAGCTGTGGTCTTGGGGGAAAACAACTAACAACCCCCCATGAAAAAATGTGATCATGTAAAGAATAAAAAAATGGGATGTTTGTTTTGTATCCCATTCCTCGTTTTTTTGCATGGCATTTTTGGGGAAAAAGAATTTGTTGTTTCTTCTTATTCTTTTTTGGGGGAGCAAAAGGTGTGGGGGGGGGGGGGGGGGGGGGGCTAGAAATTAAAGCCGTTTTTCTCTTATCTTTGAATCTGTGAGTTTGGGAGCATATATGTATGTGTGTATGCGTGCTTGGCTTACGTGCATGTGTGTGTACGTACATGCCTCATCATAAACCAGGTTTATACATACAATTTAATACAGCTTTGATGGTAGGGTATTTTAACACTTGCGTTTCTACGCCTCTCATGATTGCAAAAATATAAAACGATTCAACAGCTCAAGCGTTAGAACTATAATAATTATTAGGTAGCATAAACACGGCCTCGCGGCACGATCTAAATTATTACGTTGTATCATTTTAAATGCTTTCTCTCTCTAGGGCGTTGGTGTGCTTGCGATGGCTGTGGGACCCGAAGAGGGAGGTGATCAAGTTGTTCTCCAAGTTGTTCTCCAAGTCCTCCCTGCAGCTGTGGTTCTTTGTCAGGATTATTGAACGTCAGGCTTGGGGCCAGGGAATGAGTCGACACAGCCCAGAGGAGGTGAAAAGTCTCGTCCAGGAAGATCTGCATGCGTTAATGGATTATCAGGGTGAGTTTGTCAGATGTCTGGGGGTTGGTTTACTGTTTTACCGTCCAGTCCATTCATAACAGCCTCTGTTATTACAGGAACTTGGATAAATAACAGTGATAAATCAAATCCCCATATTTTTCTTTTATACAAGTGTAAGTAAGTAATGTGAACCTGGTTATAACAGGGTTCAATTTACGCAGACTCGGATATCACAGTGATGTTGCAGCGCATGAACTTGCTTTCGATCCATCGAATTATTAAAATTTGTCTTAACCAAGACATTTCACCTTCGTGTGATCGCTTGCCTAAACACAAACTTTCAACCCCCCCCCCCCCCCCCCCCCCCCCCAATGTTGGGGTCACTGATCGATTCCGTCTCAGTGTCAGCAAAACAGCTCATGGAAATAGATCTGTGGTAATTGAATATTATGGTAAGCTGAAGGTGCAATGGTACTGGTAGTTTCCCTTGATAACGGTTATAACAGGACTCGCTTATAACAGGGAAAAACTGCCGGTCCCGTCTGTTCTGTTATATTCGAGTTTGACTGTGTCCTTTTCTTGTCGTTTTAATGATGATGATGATGATGATGGTGATGATGACGATGGTGATGATTATTATTATTTTAAAGATTTCCTTCCCTTTGCTACATGGCAGATATCACTCTAGGTATTAGGTATTCTATATGTCAATGACGTTACTCAACCCTGGAAGGGTGCATTGAAAACACTTTGTCCGATCAACTCATACATTTTAATGGTTCCTCTGTTCCTTTGGTTTGAAATAAGAAAAGCATTTCGACAAAATATCGGGCATGTGTTGGAAAACAGAAAGACTTGCAGTCAGAATAACAGAGAAAGAGATTAAGATGCAAGTGAGAACAATGTGTCTGTAAGGAGTTATAATTGACAGGCACACACAGTCTCCCTTTGAGTTGGGATTGGAGCAAAGCAAATTGATGGCTGAGTGCAAGAAGTGACTATATCCACTTTTCACAATTTCAAGAAAAATGAGTTTGAAATTTTGATGATATTGAAATCCTTTTAGATAACATTGTAAAAAAAACCCTGTTAACATCTCGATGCCAAATTAAGCTAAGACTTAAACATTTGTGGAGGCAAAAAAGCGGCTTAAAATCTCACTACCCGTTACAACATTTCGACCGAAGTGGATCTAGTCATTTCTTGCGCTCAACCATCGAAATGGAACATAGTTTTACCAAGCCATTATCTCGCTCTTTCTTCCCAGGAGACAAGAAGTTCGTGATGGGTGATGAGATCATTAAGGTCAAAAGAAGTTCGTGATGGGGGATGAGATCTCTGAGGTCGACTGTTGTGTGTTTGGCTTTGTCTGCCAGCTGATCTACCACCAGAAAGACAAATTTTTCGATGGACTCTTTGAAAGTAAGAATACCTGTCATAGGTCTAATTATCATGGTTATTGTCTTCTTTCTCTCTAAAAGTAGTATTTTTTTTCTTTAAAGAACAGAAAGGAACCATGTTTCAAGTTGACTTTCTTTGTGTTTTGTCATTTGCGTGCAAATTGCACAGATTGAACTCCCCTTTCCACACAGCGAGACCTCCGAATTAACTCACTTGAACCTATTCCCATGTATTTACGGGACGCACTGCCGGCCCAGTGGCCTATTTCCGTGTATTCACGTGATGCACCTTATAGATCGATATCTCCGGTGTTTTTTTAAATACAAACTACGAGAAGCGGCGAGCCAACAGTTGGCCCACTTGTTTCGTTTCATTTAAACTTTGGTGAAGTTATGTGCGATACTGTTTTAGCTGTAATGGATTGCGTCAGTCACCCCCGCTTTGCGATCTATCTAGATGATCTTATTCTAAATTGGGAGCAAAAAAAAACAATTGTGTAACCCCAAGATATTGCCATTTCAAAGTATTTATGAAATAAAAATATTCGGACAAATTAGATGCAGTTTTCTTTTTCTCTGAGAGCTTTAAATCTCTTTCTTTTGTTGCATTTTTAAAAAATAATAGCTTTTACAGTCTTTTTGCGGTCAACGATTCATTATACCCCAAAACTGTCAGACTGCAATGGTTGTTGGGTGGAAAATAGCTCAGGCTCAAATGAGTTAAATGCCCGTCCCCGATAGAACCTAGCCAAATTGATGGAGAGTTTTGAAACTCCTCAAACAATCAAAGTTCAAGAACGCCCCACTGGGGATTCAAACCAGGACCATCCATTGGATAGTCCACCAGGATACCATCATTTTCTGAATATAATGGCTTTCATTTGGCTAAAAATGAAAAACAGATTGCCTTTCACGTAGAAGATATTTAGTGGTTAGACTACTGGACTCGTAATTGTGAAGTTGCGGGTTCGGGGGTTCGAGCCGCAAGCCCAACGTTGTGTCCTTGGGAAAGGCACTTTACACAAATTTCCTCACTTCACCCAGATGGGAATGGGTACCCGACCATAGACAGTGAAAGATCTTGTCAGTATGCTAGTGTTTTAGGGCCTATAAATGGCTGCTTGCACTTACTGTATGCTTCCTAGGAAGTTGAGGTTGTTTCAGAATGCTCTCAAGTCTGCTGGGGTAATAGTAATAGTATAGATTGTGAAGCGCATAGAGCTTGCTGTTGAGCGGGGATTTGGGCTATACAAATGCTATCTATTATTATCTATTATTATATTCTTTGTCCCTCTATATTAGAAGCCAAACATTATCACCCACCCTCCCTCCCCAACCCCACTCTGTGGCCAAAGAAACCAGTGACAACATTTCCATCCTTCTTTTCCTCCACAGCTCGCTTCCCATCTCTTGCTCAATACGATGACAGAGTGAAAACTTTAGTGTGGCCAGATTGGGACGACATATGTGACAGCAAAGAGACACCCCTGAGCGGAACCTTGTTGGAAGGTCAACAATAAAGCAAACTGTGTCTAGGTCATTTTGTATTACATACAGTGTTAAATGGTTCAATAGTCTAAAGAATTGTTACTCTGAAATTTTCTGGAAGAGTTGGCGATCAAGCATCAGAAACAATAAAAATGTCAACTGGTACCTTGCACCTTTGCCCGTAACTAGTACATGTCAAGCGATGTCACTGCATATCTCTGCACTTTTTTAATACTTGTGTTGGACCCTTAAGGTCGGCGTTCTTCTTTTTCTGCATCGTTTCCACAAATTTGACAGCCACTTTTATAGACTGGGCATTCTGTTGTACCTAGTAGGTTCTCCATAATAAGGTCATGTGGCTCGTTATTTGAATATATATATATATATATATATATATATATATATATATATATATATAAAAAAATATATGTATAATTATATAGATATATATTGTTCATGGTATCTCCACAGGCTGTGACAAAGAATGGCTATGTCAAGTGTAAAGAGGTCTTAAAGGGAGGAGCGACCCTTGAGCACCATTTTCTATTTTTGTTGCCCGAGATCAAATCTAAGTACACATATATATGTTTAGGCAAAAGAAAATCTCTTGATACGCAATTTTATTTTGGCATAGCTACAGCGGTTGCTATGGAATCTGCCGCAGTCTTGAAAATAAAAAATGAATCTCAAATCCCTATGGCTTTCTTATTTACGGACCAAATTTGATCAAATTTGGTGAGCGTATATCTGAACCAGACCCTGTCAGCGGAACAGTGAATTTTTTAAAATAAGTGCAAAAGAAAAAAAAGAAGAGAAATTAGGTTGCGTAATCGCTTGCCAATGGAAAAGTGTTATATTTTTTTCGCAAATATCTGTCTGTTACATTGGTGGCAGCCTTGTCAAAAGGATGAAAACTAAGGAATGAGTAGGGAAAAAACTGCCAAAAAAATGACATATTGTGAAAAACGACAATTATTCTGAAAATTTACTATATTCACCCACCCTCATGTTTTCAAAGGCAATTTTCCAGGAGAAAAAAGACTTGCTCAATTGTTTCCATGCTATTTTTAGACAAAGAATTGGTTGATCTTAAAAAATCAGCCAGCATCTCAATGTGCATAGCCTGACCCGAAATCTGCAAAATCAAGGTCGCTCTTCCCCTTAAAGCAGCCTCCGTGTTATCTGAAAAAAAAAAGCGGTTTTGTTGCAGATTCTGTTCATACAATGTACATCAGAATACTTATTGTAAATTTATGAAATCAGATTGCTTCTTTTTCTTGCATTTTCGCCGCATTTTTTCTGATTTCCCTTTCAAGGAGACTGAGTGCTTTGGTAACCCCCTGTTACTGCTTAAAAACTGCTTTGTGCTTAACCAATATTATGTTGCTAGATTATTTTGTGGCAGGGATTGGCTTCTTTCCCTAGTGCAAACCTCTTGCTTTTTGGGTGTTTTTTTTAGTAGAGGGTTTTACGGCGCTCGCAACTGCATTAGGTCATATGAGCGCAAACCTCTTGTTTGTTTTGATACTTTTATGCATACTTTACATGTTTCATCTTTGTGAAAGAAAATTTTGTTTGTCCTACTAGATCTAGTTGAAGACAAAACCTTCTTCAAATGCATTGGCTGTTTCGCTATTACATTTTTTTCTCTCATGCTTATTCAATAACAATTGTTTTGAGCTTTGAAATAACCCCTTTACTGTCACACTGTTTGAATCAAATTGTTTGGATTATAGAGTTGGTCTGGTTGTGAAAAGGTTACAGTAAAGTTAGTTCCAGGATTTGGGTCCCCAAAGAAGGGGTTTAACCCTAAGTTTCTGCTGTAAGAAGATGAAGAGAAAATAAAAGATCACTCTGTGGATGGGGCTTGGAGTCTGTTGCAAGTTTCCATACCACAAGATGTAATCATACTTGGACGAAGTAAGAAAATTTAAATCTCTCTCTAGTCTCTCTTTACTCTCTCTCTCTCTGTCTTTCTTTCTCTCTCTCTCTCTCTCTCTCTCTCTCTCTGTCTCTCTCTCTCTGTCTCTCTCTCTCTAGTCTCTCTCTCTCTCTCTCTATCTCTCTCTCACTCTCTCTTTCTCTCTCTTTCAAGTCACTGACATCGGTTATTGTTTCTTGTCCCTTGCTCTATTGTACATTGTGTATATTATTACCCTCCACCCCCTCCGATAAATATATAAGGAAATATGTGCCCTTTGGCCATTCAAAAGTGATTGATGGTTGGTTTTATTTGCTTTTATTTGTGTTTGTTTTTTCTTGTGGTTGTTGTTTTTTGGTGACTCTAGAGTTTTTATCCGGCCGGCTGGGGATGGGGATGGGGGTGGGGTGAATGGGTGGGGTGAGTGGGGGCGGGGGTTGTATGATGAATAATGAACAGAGCTTGTTGGTCACAATCACAATGGAAGATTAAAAACAAACAATAAAACATTTTTTTCCAAAGCAGATAAAATGGGGCTCTGTATAAGTTCAAACAGTTTAATAATTAATAATACCCGAGCATAATTGGGCCGCGTGAACCCAACGTTTTGCCTTGCAGGTTTTCTCAAGAGCAGAATGGATACGAGTTACGACACGTGGCAACATTAACATCATCATCAGTAAAAAGTAAAGAAAAAGTATGGACACTTTGGTAGTTTACGAGCAGTTTAACGAATTTCTAGCAGTAAATTGCTCAGCATTTTGCCACCATCGTCATGATCATCATCATTCTCCTCCTCCTCCTCCTCCTCCTCCTCCTCCTCCTCCTCCTCCTCCTCCTCCTCCTCCTCCTCCTCCTCCTCCTCCTCCTCCTCCTCCTCCTCACCACCTTCATCATCATCCTCACCATCATTATCATCATCATCATCATCATCATCATGATCATCATCATCATCATCATCATCATCATCATCATCATCATCATCATCATCATCATCATCATCATCATCATCATCATCATCCTTCTCGTCCTCGTCCTCGTCCTCGTCATCACCATCATTTTACTTTAATTTAAAGAAGAGCAGAGGAAAAAAAAGCATTAAAAAAGATTTAAAAGTCTGCAGTCTTTGTTTGGGGGAGGGGGGAGGTGAATAACAGCGGAGGCTTTGTGCATTCCTTCAGTGAGAATGTGGGGTGTCATCTAGTATCTACTAACCACAACCAATGATTCGTACTGACCGTCGAGGTTCTTCTTGTCATCGTAATAGGTAATGTTTCGCCTTACAAGAGTCATAAATCATAACTAAGGCAAAAGATATCAAAGAATCAACGTAGAAAAAGTGGAGGCGCAAATCGCTGTCCATCAATCTAAAATTCTATACGAACACGCCACTTTTGATCCGTCCCCGTGGTTTTATGCACCCCGCATAATTTAGCAAAATTTGATCATTTTTTGGGCATAATTTCTGATTATTTTTCTTTATCATTCTTTATTAAAATTAACAGAATCGCATAATTTCGTATTTTTGGGCTCAGTTTGCGATAATTTCAGAAATGTTCTTTCATAAAAAGACGGGGACAGTTTGATGTACTGTATAAATGTAACCTGTAATTGTGGCCCTTGTGGTAGGAACGGCTAAGTGACCTAGGCGGAGTTGGTTTTACTGGAGAAGCAAAAAAAACAAAACATTTTTGGTTTCATCACGCAGTAATGTGTTCAACTTTATTTAGTTTTAGGAGTATTTCTTGTCGAAATTCAGACTATAATCAGACGTGGGTTTAACTGGGCACATACAATTTGAAATGGATAAAATTTACTGTCAATTCGTCAACTAAAGAAAATGAATACAAATGTACTACAATTATTTTATTATTTTAAAAAATTGATATTTTGAGGGTTAGCTTATCTTACCACAAGGGCAACAGTACTATAATTGTGTACTGACTGGAATGTATGTTTTCATAGTTTTTGTAAGAATTTTACAGCACCCGCAACACAATAAGGTCATATAAGTGCCGAAGATTAGAGGTGTTACAAGAGAGTAACAACCACAAAAAAAAGAGGAGGAGAGATCAGAACGATAGACGTTTGGTTTGGTAGGAAAGAAGGAGCAAACCACACCAGAGCACCCGCCAACCACCCACAATATAAATTATGTATGTGCTCCTGTTAAACTAAATTTCTGCTGTTGTTGCTTTAATTTCCCCACTCCCCACTCCCCACTCCCCCTCCCCACCCCCTACCCTTCCCCTTCTACTGCTGCTGCTTTTTTCACTGTTGTTGCTACTCTACAACCTACAATTAATTACTTTAACCCCCCCCAACCCCCCCCCCCCCCCAAAAAAAAAACCCCCCCCAACAACCAACCCCCCCTCCCAAACCTACCACCTATAATTATAATTAATTGCACATGCGGAAATTCCTATTAAATCAAAGAGTATTTTGAGGTCTTCGGGACAGACAGAAAAGAAAAATGGAGGGCGAGAAAGTTCAGAGGGGGAAAGGGATGTGACCTGAATACGTACACATTATTAAGGACTGTTCTTAGGCTGTATTCTCATGAAAGTATTAAGACCCAAATTGGAACAGTTTAAAAAGTGAAATGTTACCACTGCAGCCCCCCCCCCCTCCTCCTCCTCCTCCCTCCCCACAAGGAAAAGGGACATTATATTGGAAGGTACTAAAAGCTACTCGAGCCCAGGCACTACATCCTTCTTTCTTTCCCTTTAAAATAAATAAAAAGAAATACATTGTACCATGTTGTGACGTTTTTGTAGCTCTTATATAATTCTTAAAGAAACTCATCAGATCTGTGTTCTTTTACAATTGAGAAAAAGTATTTTTGTCTAGTCTAATCTTGTTCATGCTTACAATTGTAGGGTTCGCTTAATTAAGTACAATATTTTTCAGGACCACAGCAAAGCATGCAAAATACAAACAGCTATAGAACTTTGTGGGTCTCAAAATTTGTGACCTGTTAGGCTACATAAAACGACTGGCTAGACCAAGCACTTCTCAGGCGTATTAACTGTAAAGTACAGTAAAGGAAGGCCTTTGGGTATATATCTGCAGAAATCTTGATCTAATAATTGGATTTCAGGTGGCTTACTTTTGTCATCCGTGCCCAATGCGGCATATTATTCTGTCCCCGTGGTTTTATGCACCCCGCATAATTTAGCAAAATTTGATAGTTTTTTTGTGCATAATTTCTGATTATTTTTCTTTATCATTCTTTGTTAAAATTAACAGAATCACATAATTTCACAATTTTTGGGCTCAGTTGCATAATTTCAGAATTATTATTTTTTGGCATAAAACCGCGGGACAGGTTATTTTTTGTCCACGTGAATTTCACCCACAATAGTCTTTGAATCCCCCAGACCGTACTCCAATAGTCTGGTTCTTGTGTGTGTCGTCACGCCACATTGAAAATGCTTTCAGTTTGTGAGGCAGAAGCTGAGCTGACAAAACACAATGGGTTTTTTCCTGAGGTAAAAGTTGGGGCAAATAGCTACCCTAGAATCACAAAGTTCTATATCTGCTTAGCTGCTTTTGAGAAATTCGACGTAAAAATTTTTGAGTTTCTCAACAGGTCAAACTTTTCCAAATGCAAATATGTGAACATCTTGATAACGACTCTGAAGTTCAGAGTATAATAAGTTCAGACTGATCAATCTCGCGATTTTGACAAAGCAGATTGAGATAGAATTAGAATATAATTTATTGGTTTCTGACCGCCAAAAATGTCAGATACAACTTTGTAATGTAATTCTAAGGTCACGAAATGCCACAGACAAATTTGTAAATTGGGAATACATAAAACATGTAAGTAATAATAATAATAATAATATTTCAAAATGACTTCCACCAGTCACTCTGTCAGTGACAGGGTTGTCGTCCCTCCTCAGCACAGCTCACAACTCACGCGGCAGTTCTCGTTCATGTAGGTCGGGTTCCTGCGACACTCACCACTGCCGGCCCAGTAGCCGCAGTGAGGACTCAGGTCCGAGCAGTTGTTGTCTGTGGGGAGGAAGGACACATCGTCCGCGGGTTAGAATCACAAGTTGTTGTATCGAGTTCAGAGAGAAAAATATTGTGTTCTCTTGTATTCTTAAATGTGAAGTGTGCTGACAAAACGAGGCGCTCCTGGGTTTTTGTTTGTTTGTTTGTTTGTTTGTTTGTAGCCTAAGTGTTCCACGGCACTCGCAACTGCATAAGGTCATGTGAGCGCGCGGGACACACCTAACATTTTCAGTTGGTAGGAAATTTTGAATTTTTGCCCAGGTGGCGGCCGAAGCCTACTCTTATCGATTTTAGACCACCAGGGGATCTTAAACGTGCGTAACTTGCACACAGGACCTCCGAGATTTTTCGCCCTTGTCCGAGAAGGCTAGGTGTAGATCTTTTCTGCCGGAAGATCAGGGGTGTGGCTGAAAGACAGCAGTAAGAAGGAGCCAATGAGTAGCAGCAGAAAGACAGCAGTAAGAAGGAGCCAAGGAGTAGCAGCAGAAAGACAGCAGTAAGAAGAAGCCAAGGAGTAGCAGCAGAAAGACAGCAGTAAGAAGAAGCCAAGGAGTAGCAGCAGAAAGACAGCAGTAAGAAGGAGCCAAGGAGTAGCAGCAGAAAGACAGCAGTAAGAAGGAGCCAATGAGTAGCAGCAGAAAGACAGCAGTAAGAAGGAGCCAATGAGTAGCAGCAGAAAGACAGCAGTAAGAAGGAGCCAATGAGTAGCAGCAGAAAGACAGCAGTAAGAAGGAGCCAATGAGTAGCAGCAGAAAGACAGCAGTAAGAAGGAGCCAATGAGTAGCAGCAGAAAGACAGCAGTAAAAAGGAGCCAAGGAGTAGCAGTAGAAAGACAGCAGTAAGAAGGAGCCAAGGAGTAGCAGTAGAAAGACAGCAGTAAGAAGGAGCCAATGAGGAGCAGCAGAAAGGTTGTACTTGCTGGAGCCCAGAGGAGGGGGCAAAGGAGGTGGTGGGGGGCGGGGGCAGAAAGTGGAGGCGAAAGCAGACAACAGAACATTGCTAGAGAGCAGGAAAGGAAGTGAAAGAAAACAAATTTAGAGACGAAATTTTTCCATCGCTACCCGGATTCGAACCCGGGACCTTTGAATGAGAGGCGAACACGTTAACTTCTAGGCCACGAGAGCCCCCGAAGGAGACATTATGACATACACTTATTTGGCTAATTTTGCTGGAGAGAGAGAGAGAGAGAGAGAGAGAGAGAGAGAGAGAGAGAGAGAGAGAGAGAGAGAGAGAGGGAGAATGAGAGAGAGTGAGAGAGAGAGGGGGAGAGAGAGTGAGAGAGAGAGAGGGGGGAGAGAGAGAGAGAGAGAGAGAGAGAGAGAGAGAGAGAGAGAGAGAGAGAGAGAGAGAGAGAGAGAGAAAGGGGGTAGTGGGGAGGAAGAGAAAAAGGCAGAGAGACAGAAAAAGGAAGGAGTAACGGTCAAGGACAGAAAGACAGAGAAAGGAAGTTAAGAAAAATGAATCTGTGAGACAGTAAGCCTAGAGTACAATCAGAGAGGGTGTACAACATACCAGTGCCGCAACGGTTGCAGCTTCTCCGACAGGAAGTGTTCATGTATTCCGGGTTGCTCCGACACTCGCCCCGCTGCGCCCACGACCGGCAGTGTCTGTGGTTGTCCTCGCAATCTGGGGGGAGGGTGGTAGTTGTTGTTGTAGTTGGAGGCGCCGCTGTGCTGCGCGCTGTTGTTGTTGAGCTGGGTGGTGCTGCTGTTGTTGTGGGGGTGGCTGTGCTGCTGCTGCTGCTGCTGCTGCTGCTAGTGGTGGTGGTGGTGATGTGACACAGGTTGCAACTTTTCGTACAGTTAACGTGCATATAGTCAGGGTTTATGTCGCATTCACCCGTCTGTGCCCACGCCTCGCAGTGCTCACTGTTATCTGTGCAACCGGTGGGGTTTGTAGGAGTTGTTGATGTTGTTGTAGTTGTTGTTGTTGCTGGCGCCGCTGTGGTGGTGGTTCTGGGACACCGGTTGCAAGATTTCTTGCAGTTAACGAGCATGTAGTCAGGGTTCTTGTTACACTCGCCGCGCTGTGCCCAGGACGAGCAGCGCGCATTGCCATCCTCGCAGGCTGGTTTTAGGAATAGGTCAAAGACAAACAAACATATATAATAACCAGCGGAATCAGTTCATGCCCACCAATATCGGATATTTGTATTTTCGTAGCACAAACTTAATGTCAAAGTAAGCCATGTTTTTGTCTTTAACATAATACCTGTACATGTATAACACAACTGATAACTGAACTTTGCAACCGGTGGGGTTTGTAGGAGTTGTTTTACCATAAGACCATGCGACAATCGAACTGATGTCCCCTGCATGCTACAGCATAGCGTGTGTTAAGGCAATAGTATTAATTATTGTACTGTCTTTAACATAATACATGTACATGTATAACACAACTGATAACTGACCCCCCCCCCCTAAAAAAAAAAAAAAAAAACCCTTTGTAACTCAAACTGGATTCTAAGTTCTGGCTTTTTAAAAACGACCTAATGAAAAATGACGCGTCTGTGGCAATTTCTGTTGGCTTTTCTCATTGAGTCCTGCAGTTCATTTGAACGGATTGTTATTTCTAGCTGTAGTAAAAGAAAGACAATTGGCCATTTTAATGTAACAACCGACATCTGTGGTGTAGCAGCTGGACGTTTTGCTGTAGCATGCAGGGAACATCCGTTCGATTGTCTTATGGGGAGAATTTTTATGGACTATCTCGCCGTCTTCCTGCTGGGATATTGTATCCCTTTTTGCCTGGGTTGGCCTTGAAAGGCAGGATCGAAGCAGCCTGCCTCCTAAATTATCTAAATAGTTCTATGGGGGTCTAAAACTTTTACAATTACTTTATATTCTTAAACAGGCCCTGGGAATGAACAATAATCCACACATTCAAGAGACGGATGAAGAAACTCTTCCCTCCGTAAATATGCTGCGTGCCCCCCCCCAAAAAAAAACAAAACAAAAAAAAACAAACAATAACAACAAAAAACAACCCCACGCAAACAAACAAAAAACAAAACAAAAACAAAAACAAAAATAAAACACCCCCAAAACAGCCCCCTCCTCTCCAGTATCTTCTCTCGGCATATCATTACCAACAAGCTGTTAGTATCAATTCTCTGTGTCCTTGCTACTCCTGCCTCCCCCCCCCCAGCCTAGAATCTCAGCTTCGAGAATCTCAGCAAGTTAATTTCTAAAAAGCATAATCGACTCCTGGCCCTTTGGATTGGAATCCCCTCAGTGGAGACCGGGTTGGTGGGTGGTTGGCGGGTGCTTTGAAGTGTTGTGCTTTTTCTATCAAACATTATCGTCCTTATATCTCATATTTTTCTTTGTTTACTGCTCTCTTATGGTAACATCTCTCCTCTAACCTTCGACATTAAGAACTATTTTGTATCGCAAGTGCTGTAATTTGTTTTTACTGTAACTAAAACTAAACTTAAAAGAGACAGAATCGTAGGGAAAAGACATGGAGAAAGGAAACGTTACGTTAAGGCAATGAGTGAAGGAGATTTCTTAAAGCCAGTGTCTTACCTCCACCTCCTTCACCTCCACCTCCACCGCCTCCTCCTCCTCCGCCTCCTCCTCCTCCTCCTCCTCCTCCGCCTCCTCCTCCTCCTAGATTGCAATCCATCTGGAGGACCTGGGCATTTTCTTCCGCTGAAAAAGAAAAGAGAAACCAGTGTTTTATATGAGTTTTGTTTGTTTGTTTTGGTAAGTGTTTTACGGCCGACTTCTATGGTTGCTACTAGTGTCGATGAACTCAAGGACATAATAAACTGAATAAGGTGCCGTATCAAGAATTCACCGCGACATGTGTGTTAAGGCACTCAATTACCTATGTACTGTCAATCACTGGTTTTGTGTATTGATCATGCTGGTGATCAGGTTAAGACTGTTCAATAAATTCTGAATAAATGATTTCTCCCATACTCTAGTGTTGACATACTTTTGACTCACCCTGTATATATATATATATATA